GGAAACCAATCATGGAAACAGCAAGTGAAGCAGAATCACTTTGCAGTATACAATACTATTTACTTAGCATGAGAATTACTCAGCTTGGAATACTTTAAAAAAAATCTTTTCTTTCATTCCTGAATCCTATATAGCAACAGCTGGCAACCTTTTACAAGCTATGGGCCAGAACAACCCAGGTTCAATCCAATGCAGGCCAGGTGGCTATGGCAGCACATAAGCACTGGAGGTGTTTCCCCTCACTCACACTGGGGCCAGCCAGCTGGGAGCTGTACCCACTCTGCCACTGCTTCCCCCCAAACCCCTGCTCTGCAGCTGTCATGTGGGCAGATGGTGCTAAGCTGCACCAGGATCAGGTGTCTGAAAACTGTCTACCCTGCTGCAGCTACTCACCATGGTTCCTTCAACCCCAGCCATGGCATGGGTACAACTGTAAGCTTTTCAGTACAGCTCGCCACAGGCTGGAAGCTACACCCATGCTGCAGCTGAGATGGGAGAAGTGGCAGAGCAGTTTAAGGATGCTCAGACCCAATGCAGCTCCCCAGCTGTCTGGTCCAACATGAGTACCAGGAAAGCTCCTGGCCTTTGCCATGCTGCCAAAACCACCTGGCCCATGTCACACCAGTCCTGGGTGGGTGGGGAGAAACAGCAGCAGCATCAATGTATTTAGAAGTTGCCTGGGTCCAGTGCAGTTTCTCCCTGCTTGGCAACAGCAAAGCCCTCCATCTCTGGGTCAGATCTAGTGGCTCTGCAAACTGGATCCAGCCCATGAGCTGTATGTTCCTGATCCCTTCTGTAAAGACTTGTACCTAATCATGAATTATTTTTTTCATTATCATACCATAAACATGCAAATGTACTTCATTTAGTCTGCTGGACAGTGATAACACAAGGGCAATCACAGAGGTATGCCCCAATCACCTTCACCAACATACTTCTGGGTTTGGAATCTGTGTGGGTGCAAACAGGTGGGTTATACATGACACTGGCCTGAGTGCGGCTTGCTGTTGCAGTATAGACATGGTCTATAATCCCTGCACTCTAAATGGCTCCTGTACTTGAATTCATCTGTGCATGAAATAAAGGGGAAAGAGGCCAAAACAAAGAATGAATTTAACACTGCTACAAAGTATTTTTGGCTGTGGGCTTTATGACAAGATGGGAGTGCAAGGTTCACCCTGCACTCTTCTGTGCCAATACCCTCCACAGAAGAAAATAAATGTACAAGATAGGAACAGGTTCCAAAAAAGCTACTACAATCCTTCTCTTTTTGAAGGGAGAGGGTAAGGAGGACAGAGCTGAAGCTCAGCCAGTATGCCCAGTGACATACAGATGCCAATGTTTTGGGTAGCATACTATATGGGATACAGCTGTTGCAGTGTGCTCTACTTGGCACAATATAAAGGGAGGCTTTGTTCTATTCCTCAGTAGTAGGGAGAAAAAAAGAAACAAAAAACTACTACCCCTTACATGACAAGGTTAGATAAGAATGTGATGATTTATTCCTTATTTTGCAAATCACCTTTTTGGCTGTTTTTCTTCCATTTTATTATAATTTTCCCTAATGCAAAATAAATCAGATCTCTTGAAAGCTTGAGGGTTATGAAAAAAATATTTTTTTGTTTAAATTTGTAATTCACTTAGTCATAATGCACAGAATTTAATTAGGTACTTTAATTAGGAACTCTGCATCCTACAGCTTTTTACTGGAGTGGAATATTTTCTCTTTCATGGTCAGGAAAGTCATTGAAACTTAATCCCATGCTGATAACGGTACCGTACAGACAGTTGCTGAAACTACCTGCTGATGCTTAGTCCTTCCCAGGGGTCTTGTCAATGTATTAGTTAAGCTGACAAGAAAGCTGACAGCTGAGCATTTTTTTTCAAACATTTTGATCTATGAATTTCATTTTTTTACAATGGTAAACAGGAAAAGTTACCATATGTC